CCAGTCACCCAGAATTAGGCCCCATGTGTTCTATGTTGGGTGAACGTTTTTTCAATGTCTCCATCGCCGTGTGGTTTGGAGTAGCAGCCTTCATGTGTCCCAGAATCCCTCGCTTTGTTTGACAAAGCTCAAGACTGTGGATTCTTTGTTTTTGCCAGTGCAGTCACTTAAGACCGGCTGAATCACCGCTCTGTTCCACTAATGCGTTCAAGAGCACTGCTGTACTTTGCCTTTACTTTGTTCCTGAAGGCTGTTGATTAGTGGAATAGAGGCCTATTGCGTGGAAAACACTGCCTGCTAATCCAGTCCCTTTTTCTTTTTCTTTTTTTTTTAGGGAGCGAGACTTGGATATTGACAGGCTAAACGATGGAGACTGATGTGTAGGCTCCTTGATTCCTTGATTGACGTTGAGTGAGGGAAATAATCTGTGCTCTGGGGGGGAAATGAAAATATGAAATATGAAAATATTTATGAAAATATTTCATATTTTGCGCGGCCGTACGTTGCGCGGCAACGTACGGCTAATTTGACGTTGATTCGAACTAATTTGACGTTGATTCATAGCGGGTGAGCCGGGTGTGGTCGAGTCCGATCAATGGGCACTTGCAACGATTTCCTGTCCGGAGGAAGAGATCCATACTGTTTCGTAGCCCATAATATTCCTGATGATGACAAGAAATATGAAAATATATTTCATCTGACTAAAAAGTTGCCTGTGATGTTGCGTCTTGCACCACAAGGCATTTGAGCGTCCAGCTGTTTTTTGTTGTCCGGGTACAGTTTGCAACTGTCTGCTTCACTGTGGCAACGTGAGATACGGCGAAATAAAAGCTCTGGTTTACTCACTCATACACACGTTAACTGGACTTCTGTGGAATCTGGTGCGTTGCGCGGCAACGTACGGCCGCTAATTTGACGTTGATTCATAGCGGGTGAGCCGGGTGTGGTCGAGTCCGATCAATGGGCACTTGCAACGATTTCCTGTCCGGAGGAAGAGATCCATACTGTTTCGTAGCCCATAATATTCCTGATGATGACAAGTGAGTGGGCGACGCTCAGTCGACGCTGTCAATGAAAAACCACTTGGCAAATCCACAGAAACAAAAGGGTGTGTGCGTGTGGGTCGCCTCGGGAGCCGTGCAGGTGCTCAAACTCCCGGTGACCTGTCACCTTCATCTCGATGCTACTGTTCCAGTCCACTCGGTTGTTGTGGCTGGGAAACTATTCCTGAGGTGAGTTGAACCAGGACTCGTAGCCTGCAGTGTCTTCGCTGTCTGCGACTTTTGCTGAAGTTGTTAGATAATGATGATGACGGTCGCCGTCATTCGGCGCTCCTGTCCTCTCGTCGGCCTCGCTCCATCGCTCTCTCTCTCGCTCTGGCCCTCTTCCTCTGGCCAGTCGAGATTCATACAGGAATTCAGCCATGTGGTAAATCAGACAAGACCTCTGTGGAATTGCATCGATTGGGAGGAATGTATGTAGCCAACGATTTTCAGAGATTAATGATGAGGAAAGAGGTGGAGAACTGGGAGGAGTGCTGGAGAGCGATAAAGGCCGGGCGAGGGAGGAGACGAAGGGGGAGGGAAAAGCTTGAACTGAAGGAGCATGAAGCCATCTTTGAAGGTTCTGACTCCAGCAGAGGTTATTAATTAAGGCAAAGTATTGATCATTCTCTTCATTATATCCTCCCCCTCCTGCTGGATTTTCATCTCTCTGTTGCTGACCTCCAGCGGAGAAAAGGGCTCAATCGTCAGTGAATAAGTGACGGGTTCCAGGGTCCATTTTCTCTTATTTGTACCAATACACACAGATGTACGCTCATACAAACACAATCTTTTCCCCTCGCTCGGTCCATCTCTCTCCTTCTCGGGGGCTGTGTTTTGCGCGGCGTGTCATCACCTCACAATGTTTAGGATTTCACAGTGCTAGTTTCCCAGCGCAGCAGAAAGAATGAGAGAGGAGGACCGTTTTTCTTTTCACCTGGGCTGCGAAGTGATACGTCTATATGTGACTTCTCACCGTCTCGGCCATTTTCGGCACTTTTGAGGCTGATTTAAAACGTGCAATCTATTTAACGTTCATGTGCACAGCGGTAGCCGGTTTCTCTCACTGAGCTGGTCGCCAAGGTTGGTTGTCTGGTTGTCATGGTATCCCTGCTTATTGCTGGTTACCAGTCTGCCCTCACGAAGACAGAGCGAGAATGCGCTCCGTCTCGCTGGTGCGCTGGTTTCTCTTAATCGTTAAGTGCCTGCAATCTGAAGTCAAAATCCTCGACGTCCACGCGAGCAAGTTGTCTTTATCTGCCTCGTCGCTCCGTGTGATTTTTGTAGAAATGGGAATGAATGTATGACCTACTGTAGGCGTCTTCACATGTGCGCTGCGTGTGTATGTGTGTGTGCATGCTTTGTGCGTGTGCTCAGACATAGGGTCATGGATCAGACAGGCTTGTCCTGCTCTGTGCTCTGCACTCTGTGCTGTGTTCCCATTTAAATCTGGGAGA